CCTGTGCAGAGCGCAGCCGTGGCAGAGCGCGAAAGGGTGAGTCAGTTGTTCGCCGAGGCTGCGGCCACCCTGCAGGGCTTCCAGGCAGAGGTGTTGGGCTTCATCGGAGAGGGAGAGGCCACCATACTGGGCCGCTCCCAGGGGGACCTGCGGCGCCAGGAGGAGCAGCGCAGTCGCCTGAGCCGGGCCCGCCACAACCTCAGCCAGGTCCCAGAGGCCGACTCGGTCAGCTTTCTGCAGGTGAGGGCAGCCCTGCTGGCCACCGGGGAGCAGAGGGTGAGTGGGGGTCCCTCCCATGGTCTGGAGGGGCTCTGAGCTCAGCCTCAGCAGGCATCATCTGGCGCAGGAGCTCCTGGCCCTGAGGCTGGCCCTGGAGGAGGGCTGCGGCCCTGGGCCCGGCCCCCCGAGGGAGCTCAGCTTCACCCAGTCGTCCCAAGCTGTCCGGGCGGTGAGAGATGTGCTGGCCGCAGCCTGTGCCAGCCAGTGGGAGCAGCTGCGGGGGCCAGGCACCCACGAGGACGGGCTGCAGAAGCTGGGCTCGGAAGGTGGGTGCCCCAGATGACTCCCCCTCCCTGTCTTCCCACACTGGGGCCCGAGCCCAGTGGCCATCGAGGAGGGGAGGAGGGAAACTGTGCCTGGCACAGGGAGGGGCCCAAGTCCTGCCAGGGATGGAGCGCCAGCAGTAGTGACTGGTCTCTTTGGCCACATTCTGGAGGGCAGAGGGGCCTCTCCTGGCCCACCCTCTGGCTTCAGAGAGGCCAAGGCCACAGAGCAGGTAGGGCCTGCATGTGGACAGAGGGTGCCATAACTGGGCGTGCCCTCACCCTAGGGAAGGACGGGGGAGAGGGTACAGGGTGCAGAGGGGGCTTGGACCCATTGGACAGACACCATCATCTCCTTTCCTGCAGCTGATGCGGAATCCCAGGACCCGGACAGCACCAACCACCAGGAGAGCGAAGCCCCCAGGGACTACTTCCTCAAATGTAAGCAGACCCCAGCCCTCCCCACCCACACCCTGCTCCCCTAGGCTGCCTGACTAGCCCCAGGAGCAGGCCCCCCGGCTGGCCCAGACATGCGAGGGTTTGATTCCCCTGCCTGGTTCCTGGGCCGAGCTTCATCAGCTCGTGGGTGGTCTCCAGCATCTGAATTGTGCTGGCTGCAGAGGGAAGGGAGGGGCTGTGTTTTGGGGAGGTGGGCTCCTGGGCAGTGGCGTCCTGCCTGAGCCCGGCCCTGAGCCCCGCCTCTCCCGTCTGTGGGATCAGTCGCCTACATCGTGGACCTGGACAGTGACACGGCAGACAAGTACCTGCAGCTCTTCGGAACCAAAGGCGTTAAGAGGGTGCTCTGTCCCATCAACTACCCCGAGTCGCCCACCCGCTTCACCCACTGTGAGCAGGTGCTAGGCGAGGGCGCCCTGGACCGGGGCACCTACTACTGGGAGGTGGAGATCATCGAGGGCTGGGTCAGCATGGGGGTCATGGCCGAAGGCTTCTCCCCGCAAGAGCCCTACGACAGGGGCCGCCTGGGCCGCAACGCCCACTCCTGCTGCTTGCAATGGAATGGACGTGGCTTCTCCGTCTGGTTCCACGGGCTGGAGGCGCCCCTGCCCCACCCCTTCTCACCCACGGTTGGGATCTGCCTGGAATATGCTGACCACGCCCTGGCCTTCTACGCCGTGCGGGAGGGCAAGATGAGCCTTCTGCGGAGGCTGAAGGCCTCCCGGCCTCGTCGGAGTGGTGCCCTGGCCTCCCCGACTGACCCCTTCCAGAGCCGCCTGGACAGCCACTTTGCAGGGCTGTTCACCCACAGGCTCAAGCCTGCCTTCTTCCTGGAGAGTGTGGATGCCCATCTGCAGATCGGGCCCCTCAAGAAGTCCTGTATATCCGTACTGAAGAGGAGGTGATGCAGGGGTCGGGCCTCCCCACCGTGGCCTCAGCCCGTGGGAGCTTGCGTCTCCAGGCCCCCATCTCACTGCAGGGAAGGCACCAGCCTTAGAGACCCACACGCCTCCAGCCTTCTCATTTCTGGAGGCGGCCACCTTCTATACACATGGCCTCCCACCCCTCTGGGAGGAGGCTCTCCGCACCTTGCCCTGCACTAGGCCTTGTTTCAGGGAGACAGCCAGAGCTGGGAAGGCCCAGGCTACCCCAACCCTCCTTTCCCAGGCTTCTAGAACAGTGCCTGGCTTGTTGTAGGTGTTCAATAAACATTTGTTGCGTGAATGACTCCCTTTTCCCTCCGTCTCTCCGCCCTCCAAGAATTCCCAGAACTTCCTATATTTTAAGAGCTGTCCCGATGGGCAGGCAGAAGGGTGTCCACTGGTCCCAGGACTCCTGTTGGGAGGAAGAGCCCAGGAGGAGGGGCTGAAACAGAATAGCTGCCGTTCGGGACACCCCCACACCCTGGCTCTCGGCAGGGGCAGCCAGAGGTGGTTTCTGCAGGGTCCGGCCCCTGTTGTCCTGGAGGCCGGCGTGTTTGCTTTGGATGGCCAGCTCCCACCAGCTATTTTCATCCTAATGCCACAGCCTAGTTCCGGACCTGCCCGCGGCTCTTTCTGCCCAGAATTCAAGACAGACTTCACACCCGCAAGAGCAGGGCAGGACTCCTGGGTGTGGGCAGGAGAGTTGGAGTCCCCACGCTTCTCTTACACACACAGCCCTTGTCAGTCCACAGGGCTGAGAGGGCCCTGAGTGTGGCTGGAGCCCGGAACATCACAGTAAAGGGACGCCTGTCCTCTGGAATCCACCTCCCCTCTCGTCTCTGCAGCCAGCTGTGTAGGTGTAGCAGGCGCACCCAGCCTCTCCTGGGAGGGCCCAGCATCCTTTCTGCTGCGGGACCCCCAGCGACCGGGGATGACCTGAGACTACTGGGCCAGTGTGTTTCTGGGCCAGCTCCCTCCTCCGTGGGTTCTCTGTGGCCCAGGTGCACCCCAGAGTGGGGCCACACCCCAGGAAAGGACAGGCAGAGGCCTCTGCCCCAGCTCAAGGCCAAGCCGGACAATGGGTGAGTTATGCCGCCAGACAGCAAGGCCATACAAGTCCTCCCGGCCTCCCCGGCTAAAAATAGCCCCTCCCACCACAGCTCGCTGCCCAGCAGCCAGGATGTTGCTTTTCCGGGCGGGGCCTCCTCACTCCTGGTGCTTTGTCTTCTCAACAGGAGTCCCCTGGCCGCCACAGGTCCCTAGCTCACTTGCAGCGGGTGTCCCAGCATGGACCAATAGGGGCTTCCTAGAGCCCCTTCCCACCTACCCAAGGGGCAGGAGCATGTGGGTCCCCTCTCACCTCCACTGCCTGCCTTGCCTCCTCCCCCAGCTTGGCATCCCCACCCCCATGCTTCCCTTACCTGGGAACCCTCTGGTCCCCAACCCTGCAGGAAGCCCTGGCATGTCGCAGAATGTAAGCGAGGCAGACAGGGACCTGCACAAGCCTGGTGCTTCAGTGGTGGGATTCAGGCCTGACTGCTCACGTTTGTGGCCATGCACAAGTGCCACTTGCAGAGTGACTTGCATGGGACCTTCTGAAACGAAGCGTCCAAATGCCAAATCCCAGAGACACAGCTTGGAGAGTCTCTGGCCGCCCTCTGCACAGTGACCTAGAGGCCGGGTGGCAGAGCCCAGGTTTAGCCACAGGTTGGCCACAGTCCTGCACGCCCTCTGTGACCCGGGGCCCAGCCAGCCGGAGCTGGGAGGGCTGCTGTATACTGCCCGGCGTCTCTCCATCTGTCTGCCTGTGCCGGTGTGCGAGGTGCCAGCCCCGTGGCCTTTCCACTGACGCTCTGGGGAGACCTAGGAAGAGGTAGACTGAGGTGGGGCAAATGGAAACCAGGGGCTTAGCCCTCTAACCCCCGTCAACACTTTAGTCAGAAATGATTGTATCTGCTTTATCCACAATTGCTTAAGGGGCAACCAGCAGATGGCATAATGGTTATGTCACTGGACTACCATGTAGCCGACCACAGTTCAAGTCCTGGACCCAGCTTAAAACTCATGCCGGTGTGTGCCCAAGAGGAAAGTGGATGGAGGAGAAGGGATTGTGGTGTGGCCATCCCCCTTGGGGGTGACTTCCTGCTTTCTGTTTCTCTCTCTCTCTGCTGTCTCTGTGGTGAGTGCACAAACCCTATAGGAAAAAGCTCTCTAAAAAAAAAAAAAAAAGCTTGAGCCCGCTGGAAAAAAGCTCGCAAAAAAAAAAAAAAAAAAGCTTGAGACCTTTCTCTTGCGCGGCCATCGCCGGAGCTGCAGCGGCCAAAACGAAGTTCAATCCTTCCGTGACTTCTGACCGAAGCAAGAACCGTAAAAGGCATTTCAATGCACCTTCCCACATCCGAAGGAAAATAATGTCTCCCCCCCTTTCCAAAGAGCTGAGGCAGAAGAACGACGTGCGATCTATGCCCATCCGAAAGGACGATGACGTTCAGGTTGTGCGAGGACACTGGAAAGGGCAGCACAGTGGCAAAGGGGTCCAAGTTCACAGGAAGAAATCTGTCACCTACACTGAGCGGGTGCAGCGGTCCATGTGGGGAGTCGCCCCAGCAAGGCGGTTACCATAGACTAAAGCTGGACAAAGACCGCAAAGAGATCCTTGAGCGGGAAGCCAAGCCTCGCCAGGCAGGAAAGGAAAAGGGCAATATAAGGAAGAAACGATGGAAAAGATGCAGGAGTAAAATAACCCTATCTGCCGTTCTTATTAAAAAACTGCTAAAATGAAAAAAAAAGCTTGAGGAAGAAAGAACCTGTTAAAAAGAAAAAGATCAGACAACCTCTCGCGAGGTCCCAACTTTCTCCTCCCATCCCCACCGTCATTTACAGATGGAGAAACCGCGGCACAGACTTTATAAAGAGTTACCCGAGGTCACCCAGGCCAGGATACTTTCTCCACACGCCACAACATAGATGTGCCCTGTGCTTAGACATGTCTATACACACACGTGCACACACGTGCACACACACAGCCCGCTTCCCTGTGCTGCCTCCTGTTTGAGCCGCCCTTGCAGGCCTCGGTTCCCACAGAAACCAGAGCCCTTGGCATAGTTGCCTGAGGGTCCCCTCCCGGAGCCCCGCCAGGCCAGGACAATGGTGGAGGGCGAAGGGTTTGTGAGGCTGTGGCTCTCGGCTGAGTCTGGCTCCGTGGGGCCAGGCAGGGCGCCAACCTCCCTTGAGCTTTGTTTCTGTGGGAAAATGAGCCCAGAGTTCCACACAGCCGCCTAGCAATGACTGGAGCCTCGTTCCCTGCTTGGCGGCTGCACACACCAGAGGCCTGGCCCCACTGCTGCACCTCCAGCAGGGCAGAGCCAACAGTCCTCCCGCCCTCTGCCCGCACTCCATCCCCTCCCCAGGCCCAAGGAACACGGGGAAGGGCCTTCACCTCCCTCCTCTCAGGCAGAGGATGAAGCCAGACCCAAGGCTGTGGCTGAACAGGAGGGCCTGGCCAGGACCAAGACATGAGCTGGGTGTGGCTGAGGTTGTGGCTGGAACGGGTTTTGGGAGTGGATTTTTAGCCTCAAGGAGAAAACTAGCCTTTGGCTGCAGGCTCTGTGTTCCATTGAGCTCCACCCACGCCCAACCCTCGCCTTCTTATTTGCTGCCAATATTCAAAATCTGGAAGTCAGGTCATTCCCTTTCTGCATAGTCCCATCTTCTGGGGGACACCTAGGACTGCAGGAGGGGCCAGACAGCCTGGCCCACAGGGAAGGTTCTGGGTTTGTGTTTGGAGACCTTCCTGAATAAGCCAGGCCAGTGTGTGCCCATGATCCAGACTCTGAAGGGGGTGTGCGGGGGTCTCAGCATTAAGACCCTGCTGAGGACGTTGTCTCTCTGTCTTTCTCACTCATACAAGAAATGAACTTGGGACCAGCAGTTGGCGTAATGGTTATGTCGCTGGACTCCCATGTAGTCAGCCACGGTTCAAATCCCAGACACAGTAGCTTAAACTCACACCGGGCGCGTGTGCGTGTGTGCCCAAGATCCCGAGAGGAGAATGGAGGAGAAGGGATTGCAGCATGGTCATCCCCCCGGGGGGTGATTTCTTGCTTTCTGTCTCTCTGTCTCTGTCTTTTTGGCAAGCGCACGTGCCCTATAGCAAAAATCTCTCCAAAAAAAAAAAAGCATCAGGAGGAATCTTCCCCCTTTCCCCATCTGCCTAAAGGCAAGACCTAGTCCTCCCTTAGCAGAGATTCCCCAGGCGGTCAGTCCTACAATAGCTCGCCAGCTCTGGCAGGGCCAGAGGAACTGGGAGCCAACGTCACTACCCTCTCACAGTTTCCCACCACCGGGGCCAGACTGCTTGGCCCTTTGTCCTGTCATGTCTACACGCATTGTTCTTTCTTAGACGCTGTGTAAGCCAGGACCCTGAATCACCACTTTGAGAGGTACTTTGGAACCGAAGTCTCCTGCCTGACGGCCACACGTATAAATAATTTATGTTTTTCCCTTATTGATCTGTCTTTTCTTCCTTTTTTTTTTTTTTTGAGAGGTTTTTGCTATAGGACACAGACAGAGACAGAGACAGAAAGCAAGAAATCACCCCCCAGGAGGGATGGCCACACCGCAATCCCTTCTCCTCCGTTCTCTTCTTGGGATCTTGGGCATGCATGCACACGCGCCCGGCGTGAGTTTTAAGCTGCCAGGTCTGGGATTCAAACCTCAGTTGACTACTTTCCCGCTCTCTTGTTCTCTCGTGAACTTATGTGTCCTCTGGCTTTTAAAACTAACTAGGGCCAGCAAGTGGCTTGGTGGCTAGGTGTTCACACATGGCCGATTACAGTTCAAGTCCTAGACCTGGTGGCTTGACATCAGGCACAGGGCCAGCAGATAGCGTGGTGGTGACAGTGGCTGGACTCCCACATGGCCAACCACGGTTGGAGTCCTGGACCTGGTGGCTTGAAAATCATGCCAGGTGCATGTGTGTGTGCCAAAAATCCCAGAAGGAGAATAGAGGAGAAGGGATTGCAGTGGAGAAGGATGGCAGCATGGCCATTCCCTCTGAGGGGAGATTTCTCACTTTGTCTCTCTCTGTCTCTCTCCTGTGAGCACACACACCCTACGGCAAAAAAAAAAAAAAGAAAGAAAAGAAAAGAAAGAAAGAAATCACATTAGGTGCATGTGCGTGCGTGCCCAAAATCCCAGGAGGAGAATGGAGGAGAAGGGATTGCAGCACGGCCATTCCCCCCGGGGGTGATTTCTCACTTACCTCTCTCTGTTTCTCCCCAGCAAGCACACACACCGTATGGC